CTAGCTCAGAAGCAACAAAGCCCACATGGAAGAAGCACACCAGCCTGTGTGATCACGAGGTGGTGAAGGTATCAGTTATCAGGCATCAAAGAACCAAAAATCATATCATTGTGTGCTCACCTCCATGATACAATCGCTGAAGACAAATGGGTGCATAAGCAAATGTGACGAACAAAGCTGATGGTGCCAGGCTATTAAAAGATATAGAGTCTGGGGTCTTAAAGTCTTGAAGGTAAACAAGCGGCCATCTAGCTGAGAAGCAACAAATCCCACATGGAGGAAGCACACCAGCCTGTGCAATCACGAGGTGTCGAAGGGATCAGGTATCAGATATCATCAGAACAAAAAAATCTTATCATAGTGAATGAGGGTAGAAGTGCGAGGTGGAGACCCAAAGCCCATTTGTAGGCCACTGGACATCCCCTTACAGTAGCATCTCGGGGTGGAGATGAGCCAGTCAGGGTCCGATGTAGCAACGATGAAAAATACAACTTTCTTCTTGTTCCTAAATGCTTCCACGACCCCACTATCATGATCCAAATTCTACCTTGCAAGTCCGACTAGACCAGAGGATGTACAGTGGTACAGATAGGAACTGGAAACACAGGGAATCCAGGGTAGATGATCCCTTCAGGACCAGTGGTGGAAGCGGCGATACTGGGAGGGTGGAGGGAGAGTGGGTAGGAAAGGGGGAACCGATGACAAGGATCTGCATTTGACCTCCTCCCTGGGGGATGGACAATAGGAAAGTGAGTGAAGGGAGTCATCAGACAGGGCAAGATATGACAAAATAATACTTTATAAATTACCAAGGGTTCATGAGAGGGGGGGTAGCAGGGAGGGAGGGGAAAAAATGAGGAGCTTATTTCAGGGGCTTAAGTGGAGAGCAAATATTTTGAGAATGATAAGGGCAATGAATGTACAAATGTGCTTTACACAATTGATGTATGTATGGATTGTGTAAGAGGTGTATGAGCCCCTAATAAAATGACTAAAAAATAAAAACAAACAAACAAAAAAGATCCTGAAAATGAAAAAAGAGTTACAGTCTTGGAAACTTGCATGAGCAAGTCTACCTTGTCTTATAAGTTCACTGTAGGTCAGAACTGACTCAATAGCAATGACTTTTGGGCTGGGTTGTATATGGTTTACTATGAGTACATAGGGTCAGAATCAATTCAATGAGTTTTTAATTAGGATGGGAGAATGAGGAACAAGAAAATCAGATAAGAGGGATGAAATTCTTGCTTGCCTTAGTTTTCCATAGTTGTCTGGATAAGGAAATTCACATTGATGGAAATATGAAGATAGTAATAATAGTTGGGCACCATCAGCTTTCTTCACATTTTCTTTTTTTACTGAATATGCATTTATTTCAGATTAA